AATGCAATCGATATAATCCATAGAAATAGTACCACAGAGTCAACCCATCAAGCCACAGTTCTGTTGCCTCGTGCCACTCGGCACCAGAACTCCAGCCTGAAGGCTTGTCTCTGTCAATCCCAGTAAATTGTATTTAGAATACTCACTTTTTGCTGCAATTGATAAATTCCCAATGGATGCAAATTTTGCATCCATTCTCCCTAGCCAACTTGAGAAGTGAGAAGTTCAAAATGGCTACCAGCGGCAGCAGGAGCACATGTCTGTTCGTTCCATGACCCTTTTGAGAATATCCAAGTGACCATTTCTAGCTAGCTAGCTAGCTAGCTAGCCAGTTTGCAGTACCAAAACATGTCTGTTCATTCCACAGGCAACCATTCTCTGGAGGCCACTTCAGAATCTCCAAATGACCTCCATCCCAAGGAACCTATACCGGTATGTACCGGTACAGTAGCTACCTCCGTCCAAGGAACCTACAGAAGCTACCAATACACCTCTTCTTTGCCAAAGCAAAATTATTGGAATTGTGAATTGTGAGGAATCCGCAAAATAGGAATTGTGAGAAGATGTCGAAAATTGTAATTGTGAGAAGATGGCCAAAAATGGAATTGTGAGAAATCGAAAATTGAAAATATGAAATTGTGAGAAATCGAAAACTGATAATTGGAATTGTGAGAAATCGAAAATCGAACATATGAATTGTGAGAATTTGGCGAAAATTGTAATTGTGAGAAGATGGCCAAAAATGGAATTGTGAGAAATCGAAAATTGAAAATATGAATTGTGAGAAAATGGCAAACATTGTAATTGTGAGAAATCGAAAATTGAAATTGTGAGGAATTGGGAAAGTTGGAATTGTGAGAAATCAACGAAGTTTGAATTGTGAGAAACCAGCAATAGTTGTAATTGTGAGGAATAGGAAATAATTGTAATTGTTAGGAATTTTTTGAAAATTTTAATTGTTAGAATGTTTTGAAAATTGGAATTTTGAGAAAGTATAGGGGAAAATTGGACATTGAAATGAGTATTGAATGGCAAAAATATGAATTGTGGAAATCGAAATGATATTTGTAATTGTGAGAATCAAAAATAGTAAATGTGAATTGTGAGAATTTGGCGAAAATTGTAATTGTGAGAAGATGGCCAAAAATGGAATTGTGAGAAATCAAAAAATTGAAAATATGAATAGTGAGAAATCGGATATTCAAAATATGAATTGTGAGAAGTTGGCAAAAATTGGAATTGTGAGAAGATGACCAAAAATGGAATTGTGAGAAGATGGTGAAAATTGTAATTGTGAGAAGTTGGAGAAATGGAATTGTGAGAAGATGGTGATATTGTAATTGTGAGAAATCGGCAAAATTGGAATTTTGAGGAATCAAAAATATAAAATATGAATTGTGAGGAAACGGAAATCGCAAATTTGTTTGGGTTTTGTCCAAAGCAGTCCTGTTGGTGACTCAAAAATGGATCCTTCGCGAAGCCCAACGACAGCCACATCTTCTTTCGCAGCATTGGCTCGTATTTTTCTTTCCTCTTGTTTGGAAGAGACCACTATCCTTCTGGCTACTAGCTAAGAGAGAAAGCTTAGCGCTATCCAGTAATCTATCTATCTTGTGACTGACAATGTCGTCTACTATGCGCCTCCAGGAGTTGTCTCCTAACGCGGAGATTGTGTCCAAGTCTCAAGCTCGCATTGTCAATGTGGCCGCCGCGGTCGGTCTTCTGAATGTGCTCAAAAGCAATCTGGGCCCCAAGGGCACGCTGAAATTGTTGGTCGGAGGAGCCGGTCAATTGAAACTGACCAAAGACGGTCTTGTGTTGCTCAAGGAAATGCAAATCCAACATCCCACCGCTGCCATGATTGCGCGAACGGCCACGGCACAAGACGACGTGACGGGTGATGGGACCACTTCGACGGTCTTGTTGTGCGGCAGTATCCTGCAACAGGCGGATCGGTATTGTCGCGAAGGATTGCACGCTCGTGTCATCGTGGATGGATTGGAATTGGCACGAGAAGCCGTACTCGAATTCCTAAAGACGGACTTTGCCTTAGTCCCCGATAGTAGCGTGGATGGCTTTATTCATGATCGAGAGTTACTCCATCATGTCGCTCTGTACGGCGGCTTCGAACTAATTGGACCTCTGGGCCGTTCGGGTGGGTTGCTCTATTCATCCAGTTAAATTCTTCTCGGTATATAATGTGTTTATACGCATGAGGCACGTCATCTCACTCGCGTTTTTGCTTCCTTTTTTTGCCTTTTGTTTTCCTTTTTTTGCTTTTCTATTATTATTGTATTCATCCAGACATGGGGTGGGGCTCTGCTGTGGTGGGTTCCATTGCGACCTTGGGTTTGGAAGCGGGGGAGCAACGACGCCCTCGTTTTTGCACGCGTGGAATCTGTTTCTGTTCCTATCGCAGTACTTCATTAGGAGTTACACCCATATTGCCTTTTTTTGTCGAGATATTGCTCGATGAGTTACGTCTCTATATAGATCCTCTACTTTTAGGCTGGTGGTTTTCCCTGCTCTATGGTGCTGGTTGGGTCTTGGGTTTCCTCTGGATTCCGTAATGGGGTGCTGTTGTCATGGCCGCTTTGCCCTGATGTCCGATTATCTATTCCGGTCAGAGCAATGCTTCGATCATTCTTTTTGAGAATTCTTCGCCGTCTTTTTTCTGGCTTGGCTGTATCTTTCTCGAGGGGTTGCGAGTGAGTTCGACGGAGGGTTTTTCTCCGCTTTGCCAGGCTGAGGGCATGTATCGGTATTGAGATCGGGTGGTCCCCGGCGGAGATGCGTGTATTGCTTTTGTGATTGTTAGTTTGTATAGAATTTAAGGTCTGGGGGGGTTTTCCTATTTGTTCTATTTCTCGAAGTTTGTGTCCCCTCCGGTTCGCTATATAGTTTGGAGTCTCTTTGAGTTGTTTATTTGACCTTGGTTGATACATCATCTTTTTTAGTTCATCGAGTTGAATCGAATATTTACAACATTACTGCTGATGCAGTTAGCCCTTTAGCATTTCGTTGAGAGCTCGGATTTCCAAGAGTGCATTGCTCGTGGGCTTAATCGCGCAGATATTTCTCTGGGGAAATGCTCAGATCGGCAATGGCGCCCCACACTAATTATTCTCACTAGGCGCTGGGAAGAAATCTCTATGTTCGAACAGTAAGTGCGCTTGCTGGATATTAACTCGCCCGAATCAACTGGTGGTGCGGAAAGTCCCTTGGCTCCGTATCCATTAACTATACTTGTGATCTAAGACAAATTCTAGCCCGCCCCCTCTTAGATCGACCCCGCTCTTCACTTGCAGGTGGCGCGCAGTTACTGAAATTTGAAAAAACGCAGAAGACCGACACAATAATATTTAAGGCCTCAGCAATAATGTATTCTACATGCGCTCAAATGGGATATTATGGGCTCGCTGGTACGGTTGACCACAGGGTGTCCTTGAGCTTCAGATCAAGAATGCATGATATGGAGCATGGCTCGAGGCCAGTCGTACCGCTCACTCGGCCCTTCTCCTATAAGGAAAACAGCAGCCAAGTTTTGTGTATTTCTAACAAATGACCGTTTAGACAAAAAGTATAGATTTCAGCAATTCCTTGTCGTGAGTCCTCTTGAAATATATTGTTGAGTGTCTGGTGTTGTCTTGGGATATATCCTGGTTCCGTCACCCTTTTTATTCAATACATTGCACTTTAGCTAGCCAACTTGTGCTTTGCCTGCAGACATCTTCGGATTTCGCTCGCTCCGTCCCACGGGCTACATGGTGCCCAAGGACGCTTCTGGTGATAAAGCGTCATACTCTAGTGAGGTTCAGTTGCATCTGATTTTGCCGCTTGCATTCCGGCATTTTCCCTATACGCCCGGTTTAACAGTCGAGAGATGCTTGCCGAGGTTGTTTTGATATCCCACGCCGATTGGCGGAACTCGGGATTTTTGATGTCCAAGACTTCTCAGCTCGGGGAGGAGGGGCGGGTGCCGGCTTATCCGTTTCGGCTTGATTTGTACCACGGGGACCATGGCTCCCGCGTGGAAAGGCAGTGAAATGAGCTAGCTTGTTCAAAATGGGAACACGTGTGTGCCCAGTGGATGGACGGAATTCCATGCTATTTTCCCATGACTGTTTTCAATATCTCATATCTCTCTCTCTTTTT